GGGGGCGCTGGGAAGCGGTACTAGTGGCACTAAGGGGCACTGGGAGTTAGTACTGGTGGGACTAGGAGGCACTGGGAGTACTGGTGGGAGTAAGGAGCACTGGAGGGCAGTACTGATGGGACTAGGAGGTACTGGAGGGACTAAGTGGCACTGGGAGGCAGTACTGGTGGCACTAGGAGGTATTGGAGGGACTAAGAGGCACGGGAGGCAGTAGCGGAAACTGAGAGATGCTGGGGCAGTGGGAGGCACTGGTATGAACTGGGAGGCAGTGCTGGGGGGCACTGGCAGAGCAGGAGCAGGTAAGTGACCTGTAGAGTTCTGGCATCCCCGCAGCCTGAGCAAGCTGAACTGGCCACATACTGGGGCTCTGACCCGAAAAGTATGGGGTTATACCCTGGGGGGGGCACTGAGAGTCACAGGAGTTACTGGTGGGCATTACAGAGTCTGGGGTGTTACTGGGGGTACTGGGGGGCTGAGCTTTGGGGGTATCCGGCTAAAGCCAAGCAACTGCGGTCACCATCAGAGGCAGGGTTCACCCTTGACCCAACCATCCCCGAATTTTGGCCTGCAGAGGGGTGTTGGGGAGAGGACTCGCCGCAGGGCTGGTGTTCTGGGTGCGGAATGCTGGTGTTGGGAGCCGGCATTCCAGGTGCCGGGAGCTCAGATGCGTCCCTGACTTCAGAGATGTGCCGTGATCGTCGATCTGGTTTGGCTGGGCCTGGAAAACGAGCTCCCGTCTCCTACTTGTCACATCAAACCCCATCTGCCACTGCTGTTGGTCATCGTGAAATGCTTAATGTGCGCCTTTGCTTGTTGCATTATATTTTTTTAAATTGGTTTATTAGTAAAGTAATTAAAAGTTGGGGCTTATGAGCTCTGGAGAAAGGGTTCATGTAAGGCTAAGCGTGAAGGACGAGAGGTTAGAAAGTGGTCTGTGCATTTTTTATTAATGAAATCTCTCCAGGACAGTGCAGATGCTTCTCTTGCTGACTTGCTGTTCCTTTTAGGAAGGACACGTCTGACTGGTCAGAATCAGCTAATGGATCTTTGCAAATGGATGCTCTCTCCTTGGAGTCTGCCAGCAAGGAAGCCTATTTCAGCAGAGTAGAAACTTTCACCATATCCTTTCTGATGCTGAGCTTTCAGCCGTCCCCCCGCCCTGCTTTGCTGTCACCCTTCCCATGGCTTCCCTGCAGGCTCCATCTTCTCAGAGGCTTTTCTTCTTCTTTGGCCAAATAAACCCTGGCCAAAGCTTCGACTGTTTAACCCATAATTTATTGGGTTTTATCCTTAACGTGAGCACCCGCTGAAGTGGGCAGGCAAACCCCATGAGCTGTCTCCCCTGGTTTGCGCCAAGTACGGCTGGACCAACGTGGAGTGCGACATGCTGAAGTGCTCCAGCTGCCAGGCATTCCTCTGCGTGAGCCTGCAGCTCGCGTTTGACTTCAACAAGTGTACGTATGCTGGCATCCTGCGGGTACAGGGGGGTGGGCTGTAGGGTTTGGGGGTGTGTGTGCCTTGCTGTGTGCGTAAATGACTCCTGTAGTCTTGTCCTGGGTGACGCTGGATGTTTGATGTCTCTGAATATAAAGTGCAAGTCGAATAAATTTCCTTTAGTTTGTGAGAACATGGTAAAACTTCCTGCTTCTGTTGTCAGAGGTGGGTCAGAATAGAATAGTTCTAATTTGAAGGGATCTATAATGATCATCTAGTCCAACTGCCTGACCACTTCGGGGCTGACCGAAAGTTAAAGCATGTTATTAAGGGCATTGTCCAAATGCCTCTTAAACACTGTCAGGGATGGGGCATCGACCACCTCTCTGGGAAGCCTTTTCCAGTGTGTGATCACCCTCTTGGTAAAGAAAAGTTCCCTGATACCAAGTCTGAACCTCTCCTGACGCAGCTTTGAGCCATTCCCATGTGTCCTGTCACAGGATCTCAGGGAGAAGAGATCAGCTCTTCCCTCCCAGCTTCCTCTCCTCAAGAAGCTGTAGAGAGCCATGAGGTTGCCCCTCAGCCTCCTTTTCTCCCAACTAGACAAACGCAAAGTCCTCGGCTGCTCCTCATGGGACATTCCTTCCAGCCTTTTCACCAGCTTTGTGGTCACGTCCTCGGCCCCACGCTGTGAGCGTTGCTCGTGAGCTGCAGGATAGCGATGGCCTGTGCTTTATCACCTTCACTTTCCTTTATCTGCATCTGTTCTCTGCAGAAAGACGTTTATTAGCCCACAGCAAATAAGTGTCATCTCCACTTAATTTTCTTGACTGCAAGTCCCTGCTTTTGTTACCTGGAAGGCAACAGAGAGCACAGCCCTGATGTCTGACAATGCAGCGTGGGTCATGTGTAATGGGGAGCTGCATGAGCATTTCCTTTTGGGTTACTCTCAATATTGACATCCACTGTTTGTTCGGACTATCTTTTTTAAACAAACCTTGGCCTAATTATTCTGTTGGTAATCGCACTGGTTTAGGAAAATCTAAAATAGTCAGAGGTTGGAAGAAGGGCTTGAAAAATAAATCGAAAAATAAATGATTCGGTTCTGAAAGGTGTGAATAAGTTAAATTAAGTATCAAACCTTTTTTTGGGAAGCCTGATTTCCAGCCATGGCTCTGATTTGGCTCTTACAGCCAGGGTGGAGGGGTCAGGTGAGTTAGCTAGGGACTGGCAGCAGCCCAGGAGGTAAAACTGGCAGGAGCAGGCAGTCCCTGTGCCCATCGTTGGTTTGAGCTGTGTTTCCACTGCACTGCCATGCAGTGTGGCAGGCTCCCCTGCTCTGTGGTTGCTGTGCCTGGAAACGGGAGGGAATTTTGGCTGCGAGGAGATGGAATTGCTCTGGTCACGCTTGCTGTTGTGGAGATAAACCCCTTGAGCCAGCCTGCCTTCACTGCTGCAGGAACTGCCGCTCCATGGTTGCCTGCAGGGAGGCTGGAGGTGCGGCAGCTCCTTTTGGTGGGGAAGGAGATGAGTCTGAGGTGAGAGCTTCAGGCTCTGCAAGCTACAGCCTCAGGTGGCATCTGTCACCCGAGCCATGCCGAACAGGAGGAGCAGGGAAGCCCTCATAGCCTGGTGCCTTCCTCTCCTGGTTTGGTTTTCCCAACCATTCCCCGAGGAGGTGGCTCCGCAGGGGAGTAGAAGTGAGCTTTGCCTTGCAGATAAGGAGCGCTGCGTGGAGCTGAAGAAGGCCTTGTGCACCGCTCACGAGAAGTTCTGCTTCTGGCCGGACAGCCCCTGCCCAGGTTGGTGTCTCAGAGCTTGGCTAGTGCATATGTCTGGGATCATAGTCCTCTTTTTTTTACCCCTTGGGGATGTTGAAATACGCGGTGGCAGAGCAATGCCTGTGAGCAGCCTTAGCGAATAAACGACTGAGCCATGGCTGGAGCCCTGGATCTTGAGTCCCAGGCCGGGCTGTACCCAGCCTCTCTTTGTGTGCCTCCAGGGCAGTTAAAATGCTGTTCGGATTGTAACTGGGAGGGGACAGGGGAGGCTGGATGACATGGGATGCTCAAAGGGTTATAGATCTCGCCTTCAAAGCTGTGCTGCACGAGGAAGAGTGGTTGCAAAGGAAAAAGACTGTGCTCAGCTTTTCTTTTAAAAGCCAGGAGACCGTTCTGGGGAGAAATGGGATGGTCTCATCTTCTCTCTTCCCCTGTGGGATAAGGAGGGGGTGGGAAGGCTGGACCTCAGGCCTCCCGTGTTTTCTTTCACCAGATCGCTTTGCCATGTTGCTGGTGGATGAGCCCAGAGCCCTTCTCCAGGACTTCCTGGACCGCTTTCAGAGCCTGTGTCAGCTGGAGCTGCAGCTGCCTGCCCTCAGACCAGAAGACATGAAAAACATGGTGAGTTCCCATCTGTCCCCGAGATCGGATGCATTCAAGTCCCCAGTGACAAAGCCAGGTACGCCTGTGCTATGCAAAACCTGATCGAAACAGTTGCGAGATTCAAATCGGAGACTTCAGCTTGCGTGTGTGAGTGGTCTGTCATCGCCTTGGCTTTCTCCTCGGATGTTCCCCACGTGGTGGTTTCACTTGATGTTTCTGGAAGCACGTAAAAGGGAGTTTGGAAAGGCTCATCTGCTGCTGTGCAAGTCCTTGACCAACACAGGCACAGCTGGCTCATGTCACTACGATGGTGCCAGTGGAAAGTGGGCTGTAGTGTCCGGTTCCCACTCTGCGCCTTTCCTGGTGTGCATGGAGCTCTCTGGTGCCCAGCAGAAGTGATTTGGGGTCCCACAGACTCCTTCGGGAGCTCTCCTTGGTGGCTCCCGCCCCTGTTCATTACCTCCAAGCACTGCGTGAGATGCGGCAGCCCATGGATCACTCCTTTAGCTGGGATCCTGCAAGACTGGAGACAGTCATTGCATTAGGTGGGATCGGGAGTTTAGGGTGCCAGAGGCTGCCCCGGAGCAGAGGTGTGGGCAGAGGCCTGTGAAGGTGATGGAGCCCAGGGAGTGCGGTACAGGGGGGTTCTTGTGAAAGGCAGTTGTGCGAGGAGGCTCCGCAGGCAGGAGGGAAGAGCAGGAGCTATGGCACAAGGGGCTGGAGCATAGCTGCAGCCAGGAGCAAGTGTGGGATTGCCTCCTCATAGGGACCTGGCCAGGCCCTGCTCTACTCCAGCCAAGTCTGGCTTGTTGGGCACTCGTTTGCGGGGAAACAGATGGCTCTTGGCAGCGAGAAGCCATGTGGGAACCAGGGAACTCTTCATCCATTCAGCAGAAATTGCAGAGGTGTTTTATGGTTGCCACCGTGGGCTGGCTGAGCTGTGAAACCCCACAGAGCCCCCTGAGAACAGAAATCATAAAGCCAAAGGATGTATCGCATCTCTACATCTAACTCCCCAGCTGTCCCACTAGCGGCAAGGTCTGGAGCCTGACTGACAGCCTTCGGGGACTCTCTTTTCTCGCTGTGTCTCAGCAATGGCCCCAGAAGCGCGCGCGGTTTGCCTGAGCACAGGCAAACACAGCCCCTGCTGCCTCCCTGGGATCGGAGGGACAGACGGCGACTGTTCAGGCTCGTGCTTGCCGTGAGTGGCTGAGCTGCGACCTGCTCCGCTGTCCCCACATGTGCTCAGGGGAGCAAATGGTGCTTGAACAGAGCCCACGCAACGGGGAGAGCCAGACAGGCACAAGGCAGGAGGAAGCCATCGCTCTGTGTGGCTTTTGCCTGTTAACCAGAGTAGAAGTGCTGAGGGTGCTAGCTCATGCACCCAGCCCTTTTGGGGAGTGAAAAAGGGATTTTTCTCCTTGTAGGATGTGGTTTGTGAGTAGAAGCAGTGTATTTTATCAGAGTGCCTCTGACTGCCAGTTCTGCCACCTTTCTCTGCCCCACAGTCCCTGACGGAGGAGAAGATCAGTCTGCTCCTCCAGCTGATTGGGGAGGAACTAGAGCACAAAATGGAGGGAGAGAAACCACCGATGAAGTTTGCCACGGAAATCCTGCAAGTGCACGTTCCTGCCTGCATCCTGGCTGTGTGCGGCTGGACTTGCAGGTGGGTAGTGGTGTAGGACTGATACTGAAGCGTCTGCTGCACTTTGTGGTTGCTGGTGAAACCTGTCAGAGGCTGGAGGAATGAAGATGTCCCTCCTGTGAAATGTTCAGTATCCCCTATTTCACTATTTTATTATTATCTCCAGCCATTAAAATTGACAGACCTCCAGAAACCCCAGTGCAAAGCTACCTAATCTAACATAGATGTCTCCCTGAGACAGCAAAGAGTCTGAAACATCGGAGCTGTTGGTTGCCCCGCTCATTGCTGATTTATATGTTGAAGTCAATCCCTGAAATGTCATCCTCAGTAACGCTTTCATTGCCCGTCAGGCCTGCGGGAAGGGAGGGAAGGTTCGTGACCTGAAGGTTCATGGCTTCCCAAAGTGTGTGCTGTAAGCAAAACAGCTACGCTGTTTGTGCCTAAGGCAGCTTGCTGAAGGTGAAGCAATCTCTTATGGCGCAGGCTGGAAAAGGGCTTACGGTGGGGAAAAGCAGAGCTGCTGCTGTGGCTGGGCAGTTCGGGGGCTGAGGGTGGGGACACTCTCAGCTGATACACCATAACTAAGGCTGCTCCTGCTTCATGGCAAGCTAAAATGTAACCAAGCCAGTTTAAATCAATGCTATAGATGGGTCTTAATGGACTTGTTTCACTTCTTAGCACACGGGGCTACAAAAACGGTAAGTCTGTGCCTCAGCCCAGGGGTACTGATGTCTGGAAACGTGCTGGCTCAGGTACCTGCGACTGAGATCGTTCCTGTGCTCTGCCAAATAACCTGCATCTGTTCTGAAAGCTGCAATTTTGGGGAAGGGCCCAGGCTCTTCCCTAAGCTTCTCTCATGACTTGGCTCTGTCCCCGCAGTGCTGCGTCTGGCTCCGTGCACCTCTCGGTGATCACCTGCTCCCGCTGCATGAGGAAGGTGGGACTGTGGGGCTTTCACCAGCTGGAGTCTGCGGGGCCGGAGCTGGACTCCTGCAGCCCAAGCAGTGCTCCGCTGGCACCCGCCGAGCGCTTACCACTCGTGCCCACGTCTCCACGCAGGATGCTCACGCGGAGCCAAGACACGCTCCCTCCGGGCTCTGAGCAGGTATGGCCCAGCTCAGCCGGGATGTCTGGGTGACACAGGAGCACACAGGAGTCGAGACTGATGTAGTTTGGGTGTCCACTGCCTTCTATCCTGAAAGAGGTTCATCTTGGTGCCGTGTCTTCGGCTGTGGGCAACATCCAACAGAAGTGGGTTGCTGCTGTCTATACCTCTGCTCTTTGCAGCTTTCTGTCCTCCCCTCCCTCAGCCCTCCTGCGGGAGGGCAAAAAAAGGGCCTTTCCAGCCAGGATACTGAGGCTTGTCTAATTCAGGGTGCTCCGAATCAGGGGCTGCCTTCACCCATGTCCAACTAAACACATCTGAGATGCTTCCTGTGAAAGGAAGGTGGCACCGACTCCTGCCAGGATGGCTGAGAAGGCTTTGATCTGTTATTTGAGCTGGGCAGGGTCCCTCTGTCCACTTCAGGCAGAGGACATGCTGGTGACTAGAGGAGCTCTATTAATTCCTTGTTCTTTCCCCCCAGCAGCACGAGAAGAGCCCGTCCCCGGCCATCTCTCGCCCGCGGGGTTGGGACTCTCCCATCCCCGTGGACCGGGGTGAGTTGGAGGTGGCCAGCCCAACTTTGAGGAGTCGCCCTGTCACCCGCAGCATGGGGCAGGGGGACAATGTGGAGGTGCCATCCAGTCCTCTCCGCAAAGCCAAGCGGGCACGGCTCTGCTCCTCCAGCAGCTCGGTGAGTGACCCGGATGCAGGTGTGGGTGGGGAGGAGAGGGATCTGGGCAGGGTGCTCCTGATCCAGGGACCAGTGTTGTCCCCATAGCGCAGCTCTGGGCCAGCTCAGGGCTGGTGTTTAGTCACGGAGAGGGTTTTATTGTGTCATTGGAGTCTGTTTTAAACCATGCTGTCGCTGTCCTCCTTCACTGTCATCTCCTCCCCCACCCAGGACACTTCTTTGAGGAGCTTCTTTGACCCCAGCTCACAGCATCGCGACTGGTGTCCCTGGGTCAACGCGGTGGAGGGAGGGGAAGCCCTGGAGGATACCGTGACCCGGACGGAGAAGGAGCCTGCAAAGGCAGAGCCGGGCTGGCGAGTGGTACTGAACACGCTCCTCGCCACCAGAAAGTGCGACAGAGTGCCTGAGACGGAGCCTGTGGTGAGCCTACGGGTTCCCCAGCCCCGAAACCAAGTGCTCAAACGCCGTTTGCTCCAGCCTTGCCCAGGGCTGAAAGCCTTTGGGCAGAGTTTGGGGTAGATGGGCTTCATTTGGGCGAAATGCAAACCCAGCTGGGTGGCAAGGACCAAGCGTGTGTCTGCAGAGCCTCAGCTACCCCTCTGGCTGTGCTGACAGCCTCTCAGCTGGGTCTCATCCGTTACAATGATGTGTTGTGTGCAGATCTGCTCAGGGGCTGCTATAAATAACAGCCTTTCCCGAGCGGCTCAGCGCTGCCCAAGGTCCAGGTTCATTTCATGTCCCGATAGAGAGCTCCCAACCCTCTCTGCAGATATTCTGACCACTGGCTCCTGCAGCCGCCAGCCCCAGGCCATTGGACCAGTGGGTTTGCCGAGCCGGGGGAGCGGAGATGAGGCCACAGCCCCCCTCCCCACGCGACTGTGGAGCAGCCGGTACCTGCTGCTGCCTCCCTGGGCCCCATTATCTGCTTGGATTCCTCCAGCTGGCTTCCCCCTGCTTTGCTTGGAGCTGAGCTCAGGGACCGGTGGAACAATCCTGCTTCAGCATTTGTCTTGGGGACTTGGTGCGAGTTGTGTCCCCAACAGGTCAGTCCCTTCCAGCGGTGCCATGTGCTGGGAAAGCACCGGCAGGTCCTGTGGGACCAGATACGAGAGCCCCAGCTGGAGCAGGGATGACAAGTCCTGCCCTGCTTCTTGTTGGCAGTCACCTTGCTGTTCTCCCCTCTGGTTCTGGTAAATAGGGCTAACGAAGAAGAGGAGCAAATTGATGTCCTGGCAGCCAATTAGGATATTTCAGCTGGGGTTTTTTGCTGCTGTTTCTCCTCATGTGCTTTGGAGGCAGGTCGATGGCGGTTGCAGGTCCTGTTGTGGTGCTTTAACCTCCGGTTGTCACTTTGCTCCCCTTTCTCGCAGAGTCTCTCGGTGAAGTCCTGCAAGGTGTTCCGCATTTTCCGGCAGTGGGAGAGCATGAATTCCTCCTGAACAGGCCGCTGCCTCTGGGAACTGCTGGCTGGCTGGTGGCACGGGGCATCGCGTCGGTCTGGCAGAGATCTACTTCGCAGTCGCTCCCGCGGCAGCTCCGTACCCCGGGGAGGGGATGCTGAGGAGGCTCCACGCCAAACACAGCCCCCAGCGGCTGCTGGGACCCCCTCCTCCCTGACTGCCTTGCTTGAAGCTCCCTGCCTTCACAAATTGCTGCTGTAGCCCTTGGCCCCGAGGGCTTCGACAGCCCTGTCTGGAGCCGGGACATGCCGCGGGCGTGCGGGGTGAATGAGGAGACGTGGTCACCTCACGAGGGTGACCATCTTGTCCAGCTGTGACCCGCCACCAGCGGCGCAGGGAAGTGACGCCAGGTGGGAATAAACATTTCACTTTTTGGTTTTTTTTTTCTTACTGTTGGTGCGGTGCTTCTTCCTGGGGCAGAGTGAGCTCTGGACCTAGTACGTGGCTCCCGTATCCCTCGGGATGCTTGTCTTTGTGGGATCAGTGTCCGGCTGGCTCCCTCTCCTGCTTCCCACTCCTTGTTTCACTGCCCTGCCTGATGCGGGCTCTTTGTCACGGCCTCAGCCCCTGTACATGCAGAGATGGCCCCAGCCTCGTACCCCGGTGCCCGCCAGCATCTGCCCCAGCAATCAGCTGCCCGAAGCAGATTTAGTTAGGGGCTGATAGCCTTCCCGGGGTGATAAATCACCTGGGCCAGAGTACCGGGGAGGCTGGGGCAAAGGCAAAACCCTGGAAGAGGCGGGGTATGGCTGCGTCTAGTGTTTGTCGGCACAGCACAGGGCACGGAGGAGGGAAGGGGGAGAAGAAGCCAAGAAGGGAGACCCTGATCTGTCATCTCCATCCTCGAGGATGTTGGGAAAGGGGCTTTAGGGAGGGCTCAGACAACCCAGGCGCAGTTGGACCTCCTCACCCCAGGTCTGCTGCAGCCATGGATGTGGGTGAAGGCACAGGGACATGTCATTCCTTTTTTTCATTCCTTTTTTTTTTTTTTTTTTTGGAGCGAAGGAACTCCCTTTGGGCTCGGTTTTCCCAGCCCTCCATCCTCGAGGATGTTGGGAAAGGGGCTTTAGGGAGGGCTCAGACAACCCAGGCGCAGTTGGACCTCCTCACCCCAGGTCTGCTGCAGCCATGGATGTGGGTGAAGGCACAGGGACATGTCATTCCTTTTTTTCATTCCTTTTTTTTTTTTTTTTTTTGGAGCGAAGGAACTCCCTTTGGGCTCGGTTTTCCCAGCCCCAGCTCTGGGGTTTCTTCTGCATCTCATCTTGCCCCATCCCCATGGGGGCATTTTCTGGTTACCCCGTACCTTGGAATGCAGCAGCTGCCTTGGTCAGGGCTGATCCCCGCTCTCCCTGCACCCCAAAACTTGAGGGTGCACCTGCCCACCCAGGGGTTTCTTCTGGGAGACACCCTTTACCTGTCGGCTTCTTGGGTGGGTGCTGGCAGGAAGCCCCTTGGAGAGCAGCAGGGCTTGAGTTTGGGTGAGTCATCTTCCTTTCCTAATTGTGTGGCCCTAACGAGGAGCTGCTTCACTGCATGGCCATGCTGGGCTGGGATTTGGGGTGGAGATGGGGGTGTCACCTGTCACCCCACAAACACCCTGGGTACCCCCAGCTCCAAAGGGGTGAGGAGGGGCTGGGCTCTGCAGTGGGGCATGGAGGAGCACCTTCCCCAGCTCCCTGGACCCACAGATCCCCTTGTCCCCAACAGCCACCCCATGGTTTCCCCTGTCCCCCATAGCTCTCCCCACAGCTTGCTGTGGGTCCCTGTAGCTCCCCTGCTCCCCAGAACTCCTCTGGCTCCCCATGGCTCCCCATTTTCCAATGGTTTCCCCCAGCTCCCCATATTCCCCTTATCTCCCCCATTCCCCATGGCTTCTGACACCCGCCTCGCCCTCCCCTTTGCCACTTTGCCTGCCCATCCCCATCACGGTCAGGGAACCACCCCACAAACTACAGGGTGCACCCATGGTGGGGGGTGGGTGATGTCCCCATACTGTCGTGGGCAAAGCCAGCTGCTCCCCCCCCGCCCCCGCTGTGCATTTTCAGACCTGGGAGGGCTCAGAGGGCCCCCAAACCTGCTGTGCACCCACACACAGGGGTCTGGGTGCTGCAAGAGTGGTTTTAAGGCATCCCGAAAGGGACAGGATGCTATCGTAGTCCCCGTTACCCTGAAATTATTCCCGTTGCAAAACCGTTACACAGATAAAATACAAGGATTTAAAGAAATTAAGAGAAAATCCTGATATTCCCCTCCTGTTCTCCCAGTTGCCTGAAACCTGTCAGAGAGCATCGAGGGCTGGGAAAATGGGGGACCCTCTACCCCAACCTCTCCCACCGCTCTGCTCAAATACAACCCCGTTCCCCTTTGTCTCCCCAAATTCCTCCTAGCATGGCTCACCTGGGGTGTGGATCCGACCCCCTCCTCGT